TGTTGGACTTACGGGTGTCGCAAGGTGAGCAAGACTGAAACCCAGATTCAGAGGCCTTACGAAGGAGGGGAAGCTGGAGGGTGGAGGGTGGTCACGCGCGGCGGTGGGTGCACTCTTGTCTGTGTGTATTCATTGTGGCCAATTGTCCGGTTTGTCAAAGGTTAAGCTATTCCTCCCCTCCCCAACTCACCCCTCCGCTTTACATCTAATCGGCGATACACGATGAAAACTTTCTCACTGCCTCCCCCACCCCCTGCTCCCGGGCCTCGGTCCTGCCGCACCGTCACCGTCGAACCCTTTTCCCATGCGAGTCCAGCGACTTGGGTAATTTGTGGAAATTATTGCAAATGACAGAGAACCGTTCCGCTACTTGTGCGCGCTGGCGCCTACAGCCCGTGCTGTGGAGCCAGGCCAGCTGTCGAGGCACCTCCCTGCGTTTATGTTCCCAGCAACAGGAAATTCAAATCGCCTAGATCAGACATATGAACGTCGCACAATTGGATAAGTCAAGGTGTGGATGTCGCTTGGAACTTCTAAATGTCAAGGGACAATTTTGTCCGTAGATTTGCAACGATTTCGTGCACATCCAGAAAGGATGCAATTTTGTTCCCTTAATTGGACAGATTGTGTGAAGTTTCACACAATTTGTCTAGTTTTAGGAACAAAATTGCATCCTTTCTGGATGTGCACGAAATCGTTGCAAATCTACGGACAAAATTGTCCCTTGACATTTAGAGTGTACGCTCTCCACTACCCAGAGGTGTACGAGTTAAATTGAATTAAGTTTGCTGTGTACGATGGTAACAAATAACGCCATACTGCCGGCATCCGATGTGGGTCAAACATGGTCAAATAGGAATTATTTTTGTCGCTTTATAGACACATACCTGGTGGCTGACTCACGCCGCGCACTTTCGTAGTTCTCTTGGTAGTTCTACTGTATACCGCATTCACAGTTACCCCCGCGGACTCGCGGGAACCCTCTAGAAACCGCGAACAACCCTTCTGTAACGCCCCAGGGCGGTGGCTGCAACAACAGTGGCGGAGCGACCCGCTGGCGCTTGGAGCCGGTCCCCAGCGCCTGGTGGGTATGCAGTCCCGGATGGAGCCGTGCGGGCGGGTTGCATAGTACAAAAGTCTGCGGGGTTAATCAGCCACCTGGTATGTTGGCCGTGTTTGTTTAAGAACCACTACACCTCGCGCGAACCCACGCCTCACGCACGCGGTCACGTGGGCTCAACTTGACACACCGGAGGGTACCTACCTCTCCATCTCCACTCATTCTCGGCCTGCAGGCGCGGGCCGGGCGGTCCAGGCAAAGCACTCGAGGGAAGGGCCAGCAGTTAGTCAAACGCTGCCCCCAACAAACACGGGGTGGTGATTGACGGGGGGGAGCTAGAGCTCGAGCTGGAGCGGGGCGGGCGAGGCGGGCGAGGTGTCGCCGCAGGCTCCCTCCCTCCCGCTCAGCACCCTCTCCCTCTCCAAGTAAGCAAATTATAATTATAGGCCCCGGTGTCCGACCCTGTGAACTGCACTGCGCGAGTGGCCGGGTGGATTTCTTGCTGCATCCCGGC